ATTTTGCACCCCGAAAATTACTGGCGTTATCAGAATGCATCACCAATCCAGGTCCTTGGCGCGATAAAAATCGTTTGAAGGCAGACATGAAATAATGAGTACTCAAGTCGGTGGTGAGTTCAAATCGAATGAATTTGTTGTCAAACATACAAATAGGCATATGTATGCCACGGTCACGTCTTGGAGTAATGAACGGCGGGTCTCAGTAATTGCAACCCGTTTGAACAAATGCTTTAGGTACAACTTGCGTTCGTACCGGGGGCAGATCTGTCATAAGCGGACAAATCGATTTGAGTGATGAGCGAAAACAATGGTTGCATTTATCTATTATCGAAAGAATAGTTCGACTAGCGGTAATAATCTAATATTTCTGTCTTAATAAACTATCCAATAAATTTAGGACCGGTACAAAATTGGATGCCGATGGTCGAAGGTTGCTGTGTTGGAGGAAGATTAAGTGACACTAACTTATAGCATTACTTAATCTTCGTCAAATGCGGATAAGCACATTGTGAGGAAACGGATTTAATTTCTTTATGTGTTTCTGACATTTATTACACGATTTGAGTTATTTTAATTCTTCGCGAAAATAGGTTATTTACACAGCAATAAGAAATTTAATTTCAAAACGAAAATAAAATTACTGTTCGGTGTCTAAAGAAATTTATAAATATTCACAATTTTGTTCAAAAATTTGGTTCATATAGAATGTCGAGAAGCGACATAAGAGATACTGAATTTAGGAAACCCTATTAGCGACAAAATACTGCTGGCACTGTGGAAATGTATTAATCTAGTGTAACGCTACGGTAAAGTCAGAAAATGCATAAATGCGGTTACTATTACAACTCCACGAATAGCTGTCTGATACCGCGCGTAGTGCCTTTGCGAGTAGTAAGGCAGCCGTAAGTTTGAGTCGCCGTGTCGTAATAACTCGATTACAAAGCGATTATTTGGATTTTCCCTACACTAAGGTAGTTGTCTGCTTGCCTTGGTTGCTCGCATGTAAACATACAGCGGCTCCGTATGCACGTTCGCTTGCGTCACAAAGACCTAAAAGGGTGATATTGGTATTTCCGATTACCTTGATATGTTGCAGTATTTCTAAATCTGCGATAAGTGGTAACTCTGATTGAAACTGATATCATGTACTGCGAAAATTGTCAGAATGGATATTATCCTAATCTAACGTTATTAAGTAATTTTTCTTGATAAGAAGTTTGGCGTGTGTGATAACCGGTCCTACTAGCCCAATTACATCCCACAAGCGAGCCACTATTGATAGCATATTGCGTTTGGTGCAAATGCGGTCGAATGGTAAAATAGTAAACGAAAATTTATCGCAAGGCGGTAGCTATTGCATGCTAAGAATTTTAAGAGACTCGTCTTTCATAAGATTGATTGGTTTAGTTAATCGATGCGTTTCGGGGACATTTTATAGCAACTCATGGGAATCACTGGACCACTTCATCAAATCGAAACCGCCCGGTGCGAATATTGCATCTAGTGCAACATCTTTATTGGGAAAAGAATAGGCGATATCGTCAACGTACAGTTGCGTAGTAGTAAGTTGCGCAGCGAGGGGGAAATTAGTTTTCTCTTATTTAGCTATTTCACGAATACTTCAGATGATAATGAAGGGACTAGACCGTAAACCAATGTATACACGTTGGGAAGCTAAATATCTTAGCGGTTCTTTATTATCGAAACGGTATATTATTTAAATACCTCCAATTTACACTACGCCAACTAGGATTTTGTAGGTTTACAGGAGAAGCTCTTAAAGAAAAAACATTGATAACTTTTTAAGCTATTGCATAGCTTCTATCGCGGGCCTTGAGCGCGGGGACCGAATCCAGAAATTCCGTAACGAAAAAAAACCTCACGCTCCCCACTCCGACGGGCACGGAGGTGTGGCGTTGAAAGCCGTGCATCGTCTAACGTCGTTTCAGTTCGGCAGACTTCGGCACGGTGTTTGTGTGCGTGCGACTAGACGTATGCGTGTACACTAGCTGCTAACTCAATGATAAAAATTTCTGAATAACCTACATTTATTGTAAGATATTAAAAATATTTTAAACAATATTAACTTCTCATTTATTCAATAAGAGAAAAAAAATTGTTTTCTTATCGGTCACCACGCTCAAAAAGTGTAAATTGATTTAATATCAAAGACGTTAAGTCTTAATGCATAAATAAAATAAATAAATAATTATAATTGCATAAGTTGAGAAAAAATGCTATGCAATAGCTTTACCGCGGCAGTCACCGAGTGCCACACTTATTTTTTTTATTATCACACCTATATTAATGATATTTTCAGGATGAATAAATAATTTATTGTTACTTCTAACTGCATAATTGGATTTTAATAATTTTTAAAAGTTTTAGAATTAGCTCTAGTTAACGGAGTTTAAGACGGAAAAATGTCATTTGAGATTCCGTTACACTCCGCCAAATCACAGTTAGCGTAGTATATCTCGGAATATGTGAGAACTCAAAAATCATAATCAAACCCATAATAGAATATTATTACGTATTATTTTTACAAGTACATCCAATAATAGAATTATTTTAGTGCTTCAACTAGCATATCTTGATAAAATATTCTCGTATTTCTAAATGTAAAAAGTTAGCGTTTTGCAATCGGGAAAGTAATAAAATCAACTACCGTTTTACATGCCGCTAACACATACATAGCGTAGAATAACACGAGTTTCAGTTAGCGTTTTGTTTGACATAAAATATGAATAAAATCGTATGTTTTTCCAATATTTTATATTAACATTTAAAAATTAGTCAATACAATATTATTGCTAATAATAATGTTACAAATACACTGAATTATCAAAATTATTTATAATTAATTTCTTTTTTGGTAGTGGGTAATATACCTAAGTTGAAAATGAAAAAAAATGTTTTTATAGTTTTTATATTAGTAAATATAAAATTTTAACCTTATATAATCACTGTATAAACGTAATTGTTTAACAATATAGAGATCAATCAGCACAATTTTTGTGAACTAAACTAACTTTTTAATTAATACAAAAGAATTAGAACAATATCAGCTACAGTCAAGATTCCCATAAAATTAACATCAAATTCTATTATGAAATAGTATACACGTGACTCAAACATTTTAAATTACAATAATCGCTTAAATTACTTAAAGTATTTACGAGATCAATCAGCATGTTTCACTCCATAACTACGAACTTAAATTATTCTGATTAAAAAATAACTGAAATGGTTACGAAATAAGGAAGCAAGACACTGTTTCAGATGTCATCAATGCCTGTCTTCGCTTTCATCAAGTTCGTGGTCGACCTCAGCCACGATATTATTATCACAGAAATAAACTAAATCTTTGTATTTAGCCCTATTTAATTTCAATAAATGGGTATATGCTTTGTCTGGAAAAGGTTCTGAAAGCATTGTATCTGCTGACTTTCTACATCACCTAAGCTGTATTTATAACGTAACATTCCTATATTTTCTAGATTAGCCCCAATCTCTTTGACTTTATTCCAAGAAACCTTATCATTAGAAACACTTTTTGTCCAATTTTTTTTTTTGTAAATACCCTTTTTAAAATCTAAGATCATATTCTGTTTTACTTCTACAACATTATACGGTTTATCATTTACTTTTGCCCATCGTACTAAGGAGTACCATCATTCATATTCTCTTCCTTTGGCTGATTTTTCGATCAGAGCATGCACCGAATCGCCTTCGTTTTGTGTATGTCCCTTCTCCATGAAGCGATGATAAATTTTAATTTTCAGGTTAATTGCCGCTAACAAGTACATTTATTAAACTATCCGGTTACGGTTTTGGCCCCCGCAATTATCTGACCATAGATATATTTCAGTAACTCCCTTTGAAGCCAGTTTAGTCAAGAAATCATAAATACAACTAGAGACTTCATTTGCCCCTCTCCTTGCGGTTTGTTCATCCCACATGTAACAGAAAGCTCCTTTATGCGCTATGTTATACACAGTAAAATTATATACGTTAAGCTTTCGTCTGTAATAATAAATACTAATGTTTCCATTTGATGCGTTCAGTACTTTCTGGGAATCAAATACAATGCATGCTTTTTTATTATCATTAGTTGCTAGTTATTTATTTTCTAATTTAAGCTTTCGAGAATAATCCTTTTCTTTTTGATGAATTGTATATTTTTCGCTATGCTCATCAGTAACTTCAGGTATGTTCTTAAATTGATGGCAGTTGTCACACTGATCCTTTTTCGGAACATGAAATCCTATCTTTAAATTTGCATTGACTACGTCCTTGTATTGTCTTAAAGTTCGCACTCTACTATTATAATTATTTTCTGCACACCATTCTGGATACATTTTGAACATTTTTGAAAATGATAATGAGGGATCTAAATATTTTGTACTTGAACGTTTTCTGACATAGTGCGATTCAACGGGTGTATAAGAATTAACATGATCAATTACGCTTTGTTTCATTTCAGTAGTAACTACCACATTATGGTTCTTATGGCGACATCTGCCATCAATGAAATCGTTGAAATCTTGACATTCTTTACTTTTTTGTAAAGCAGTATAAACAAAATCCTTACTTATCCTAAAAGTATTTAAAAACATAGTTTTGCATACTTTTTTTAATATCATTTCATTATCATTTGACTCTATTGGAAGATGATAATGCAATGTATATAATCGATGAATATTTTCTTTTTCAAGATTAGTACAGTTTTTTTTCTTTTTTTGAAAGACATATTTGGAAATAAGTTGCCATTGCTTAACATGGCTCCCCGTACCCCAGAATTTAGAAAATAGTTCTATCCGTATTTCCTCACTGAAATTTTCACGACACCGTAGACGACAGCTAGAACTACAACTTGGTTTTATTTTTCTTGCCTCTTTGGCTGTCCCTCTTCTAGAAATATATTCTTGCCCCGTATTACAAAGACGTTTTCTTTTCGTCGCCACCCAGTCTTCTACATGCTTAATGCGCCTACGTCATTTGTCGGATCGTTCCTTTGATAGCCGTCTATTTATTGGGTTTTTTATTTCACTGCTCTCAAAAGACGTGCAATCATTTGATGTAGCAATAGAAGAAACGGATAAAGGATTTACATCCGATGCTGAATTTGTTTCATAGCAAAGTGTACCTAAAGGTATAACAAGTGATGGGGGATTGGAACAGAGAATATTTTCTGATATAAGTGTTGCATCAACATCCTCAGGAATCGTGGTCGGTACCAAAGTTTCATCAGCACTTTGAGAACAATTACTTAAGTTGCAATAGAGTGAAGGCATTGGGGTGCATTCGTTGTTGTCAGATTCATAATTTTCAACACTTATAGAAAATAGGTGTCCCACGGACTGTGGAGTCAATATCATTGGAGAAGGCTTTTTTATATTAGTAGCTAAACGAAGGGAATAAATAATTGGTGAATCAGGTTTTGTAATGTGTAGATTTACATCGTTTATAATCTGATTTTGTGTCGACTGACTTGGATAGATGAGTCGCGTTAAAGAAAAATGTTCATCATCGTGTTGTTCAATAGGCCCTTGAAAGACATCCTCAAACACAGACATAAATTGTGGGGTCATAATTGCATCAACATCATCAGGTACTGGAGACGACACTGTAAAAATATATTTAAATAATTGATTAAATATTTTGGTAAATTTTGTGCAAATTTTATATCACGTGTTGAAGTAAGTATTTACTTCAAGCCTTATATATTTTATAATAAATGTTACATAATATTTAATTTTTGTATCAATATTTCAAAAATACTTTACTACATAGGTTTTTTGTAAGTACGCTATTCTAATATTTGTAAAACAACAAATTTAATCATAATACAAGCATCGTTTGTATAATGGAATGAAAATTTATTAATTAATTTTTTTAAATATTAACTAATATCAAGGTAAATATTACTTAGACTAATGTTTTACTCGTAAATACTTATCATTGGATTGAACATTACGTTAGTTAAATAACAAATTAACAAATAAACGTAATTATTATTATAATATGCATACTCCTCTAAGTCAGTATGAAATGATATGCTACCGAAATACATTCCGCCAACTTGAGAATGTGTAATGTCGTTTGTACCTTGACCAAACATACTCAATGTTTTAAATTCTCAATAACTATAAAGATAAATCACGTAATTTTAAACAAAAATAAGTTCTAAAACTAAATAAACTCTAATTACCTCTTTCCTGGTTCGAATCTTGTAGTATCTCACATATTTTGTTATCGTTCGTCTGCTGGACGTATTTTTGTTTACATAACTCGACCAAATATTTTCTACGCACTCCAGACATTTTGTTTTTCTTCAAATATATCGGGCCATTAACTAATAAACAATGTGATTAATACAGTGTTATTACAGGTTACCACTTTTATATTAAAAAATGCGTGCACACCGGCGACACTCCGCCAACTGTCATTAGCGTAAACATAAACACACAGCGCCACGCGCCCCCGCCGCGCGTCTTCCTGCCAATCCTGGTTGGCGGCGTACAGTCGTGCGGTTAGCGGCCGCGCATCCCGAATACACACCGCTAAAACGAGTAGTCGCGGTGTATGTCGCGTGTTTGTCAAAAGTACATTTACTTGGCGTTATGTAATTTTCAAAACTTTTTTATTTATTTAAATTTTTTTAAGAAATTTAGGGAGCATAATATTATTACTTTAATGAGTCATTTTCCATTAAAACCTGAAAATGAGTAAAAATTAAGTTGGCGTAGTGTTCATTGGAGGTATCAATTTGCTGATAAGGTCGATCTTTCTCACGAATTACAATCTGTAAATACATCTGACGTATATCAGCCGTAGCGGAGATTTCAAAAAGATGGACTCTCTCATTGGACTATGAGAGTGAGGGAATAGAGAGTGAACCTGAACTGATCCTAACTTTCATGCATTATGATCCGTTCCAGCACAGATAACTATTCTCTGTTGAGACTGGCCGTCTTGGCCGTAAATTGGTTTGGAAGACATATTACTATATTATAAACTATATAAAATATATAAGCTTACCTTAATTGCATTCAATATATGTTTAAAATTTATTCCGTTAATAAGACGAAGTTAAGCCTTGTAATATACAAAGATGTTAGTCGCATATAAAAGCTGACGTGTTACACAATACAATAAAATGTGGATTCCTCAAATGTAAAACCATTCCGAGAGTTGTTTGAACCCCTATAAAAATGTATGTTCCCTTTTCATTACATTTTCGAACTTGGTGTTCGTGTTCAATTGTATAAATATCAACCTTAAGACTTCATGATTTAAGATTCATTTTCACCAGTTTTTCCAGTTTTATTTTACTAAATGTTAAACCTCCCTATTTCAAAGAGCCCATTTTCAACATTTTAAATCACATTATTTTCATACTCATATACAATGCCACCTTAATATAAGCATTTCTGTTAAATAAAAAAACACGTTGGATAGTACATATCTAATAACGAATTAATTATTTATTGATCGTTACACGTTGTATGTACTTTTCTTAAAATTTTAGTAAGGTAATTATAAAATTAAAATATATAAAAGTCTTAAGACATATATTCCCTGAAAGAAAACTAACTTAATCTGTGTACATAATTCCGCGTTCATGTTTTTAAGAAAATCACTATTCTTTTACCGCTACATACGATGTTCTGTTATTTTCCCTGATAGTAATATTACTACGACTCACCGTCAATGTAGTTTGAACTTCTTTATCCTGTTGCGCGCTTGCAAAATGTAGCCAAGCTACCAGCGGTGTAGGTAATTCAAACGGATCTAACACAGTTGATTTGTGTAGACTGATACTAAGGTCCTCTTATCCCAAAGGATAATAAGATACACGTGTAGTCACAGTTAATGTGTGAAATTTTTTACATTACTTGGGTTTCCGTGACAGAACAGTTATTTAAAAGAAAAACGTTACAAAATTTAAGTGCCTATTTTATGCAGTTATACCGAAAATACACCAAATGTTCATCATAGTTACTATATTATGTAATATAAGAACGTCCAAATTTTGATATCTGTTTTATAGCCGACTTAAAAATAAAAACAGATTCCAATTCGTCTGTTTCTTTTTTTCGTACGCATGATAATGCTACACGTTATCATCGCAAATCGTTAAACGATTTTAATTAAATTTATTTTTTAATAGTTTATACCGCCATGGTTGTCCCATATACATATTATATTTTGTGCTAAACTGAAGAGGAATAAAAAGAAGATGAAGTTTTTAATATTACTATATAGACAATATTCTACACCCGCTTGTAATATTCCTTAGTCGCTAAAAAGGCCTAAAATTAAACTTGTTAAATTTAAAAACCGACTTCAGATAACTAAAAAAGAATAACATAATTCCCTGTTTTAGTAAAGTAATCTTTCTTGGTATAAGTAAGTGTTTTTTTTTTCGTACGCATGATAATGTTACACGTTATCATCGCAAATCGTTAAACGATTTTAATTAAATTTTTAAATAGTTTATACCGCCATGGTTGTCCCATATACATATTATATTTGGAGCTAAACTGAAGAGGAATAAAAAGAAGATGAAGTTTTTAATATTACTATATAGACAATATTCTACACCCGCTTGTAATATTCCTTAGTCTCTTAAAAAGGCCTAAAATTAAACTTGTTAAATTTAAAAACCGAGTTGAGATAACTAAAAAGAATAAAATAGCTCCCTCACAGCTTTTGAAGTCAAGGCTTTAATTCTTCGATACACTATACCTTAGTGGGTACTTTACGTCAGACGAGTACAAGATGGTTATACCGCCACATTTCGGAAGCATTAGATATTTCTGGCATTTCGTGTAGTCGCCTCTTAATATATATATAGATACCACTAAAATTTACGTTCATATAGCAATAATTATTACCGATTTCTTTTATTTGCAAGTTAATTCTCTCTCTTCACTCTTAATTTTATTTTTTTAATAGAATGGGGTGACAAACGAGCACACAGTCCACCTGATGGTAAGTGGTTGCTGCGGCCCATAGACATCTACATCTATCCTCCATTAAAAATCAAAATGCAGATGCGTTGTCACCCGTGAGGACTGAGATGGAATGCCTCGTTTTCAGTAAAAAGGGTCTCCGGTTCTCTACACTCACCATACGAAATACAGCAGCATTAAGCTACTATTTCACGCTGGTATTCTGTGAGAGCGTGGTCCTTCCCCGGTCGGGCCGACCCATTCGTGCTACAACTATACTACTAATATAACTGCAGCATGGCTCTACCACGTATAAAAATATAATTCGAAAATATAATTCTTAAATGCGTGTGACTGTGGTGCTGCTGTCTGTGGCTTCGATTAATAAAACGTATAAGATTAATTGTTTAAAACTAGTTATTCCATGTCTGTATACTTGTATTAGTTCTATTTAAATGTAGAAATATATTTTTTTAAATATAAAAATCTCGAAATAATAAAATATTTCTTTGTTTATTTATTTAAATTATATCACCTAATAGAAATATACTCGAAGCCATACCACATTAATATCCATTTTATAATATCGCTATATTTGCAACATCGCATCTTAGTTTTATTTTAGATTCAAAATAGTGCTGGCACTTATATGTACATAGATCTACGAAGTTAATTAGGGGTGGGTGGCTAAGCTCTAAGCTTGGAAGATGTTACAGTCATATACGAGTGAGTTGAATATTTAGGGTAATTTACCTGAACCCCAATGTTTCAATTATTTCGAATTAAATCTCTTACATGTTTTTTTTTTGCAAAATTGTGAATTATATTTGTATAACGTAAGTTTTTATCCTTACCGGTTTAACAAATAATGAAATGTGGTATAAACACAAATGTGTGCCATATACTCCAAGAGAATCATGAGTGTGCCTTCTCACTCGCCCCCGTAATGAATCACAACGATGAATATTGAATATAAACAGCAAATGACCTCATCTTATCTCTTTATGTTACCAAAATGGACATACTAATTAACTTGAACTAATTTATGCAAAGAAAATAATTTATCTTACAAAAACAACACGAGTTAATTTAAATTTCAAAAGTTAAATTTTAAATTTAGATTCCACACGTTAAGAATGAAATAAATAGGTTTTTTTTAAATTTCTTTCTTACACAAATTATGTATAGCTATATATATATATATATATATATATATATATATATATATATATTCAGCCTGAAGTGTATGCATTTTGTTACTAAATTTTTATCCTCTTCGCTTTTTAATTGAATTTTTATAAATTGTATCATATAATTTTATTGAAAAGCAAATAAAAATGAAACTAAATACGCAAAGAAAGGTTTTCTATTAATTTTTATGTTTGTTTTTATTGTATTATTGAATTCAATTGTTATGCACATTTTAAATCAAAGTATACCTACTATTAACTGAAGGTCAATTAGGCCAATAAGGACTTATAATAATTGATACTAAAGTCTGGAAGAGATAAATGAAATATATAAAATATATTATAATACATATTAAATTAAAAAAAGAACGTTACCCCTACAATAGTATGCATCCTTTAGAGGTTTTACGTAAATAATTTGTACATGTAAAAGAACCAGGAAAATTATTTGCAGGCGCTACAAATACTTGCGGGATTCGAGGTCGTGACCGTGTAGTGGTGCAACCATTTGCTTAGCCACTGCCGTTAGTGACCTGTTAATTATTTTTTAACATCTGTACACACATTTTCGTATGTAGCTACCCTTGTATATAAATAAAATAAAAGAATATAGATAAATTCAGTTGCACAGTGGCTTAGCAATGAGTTGCAACGCTAAGAGCCGCGGGTTCGAATCCCGCACGGAATAAGTATTTGTATGGACTCCAAGTAATTGTTCCTTGTTGAATGATGTTGATGTGATGTTTGTTCTTGTGAAATGTGAAATTTATGTATGAAAACTGCCCCCACGATACAGGATAAAATCCTTCTGTGGAGGTAACGCTTTTTTAAAAGAGGATAAGATGATGGTAATATGATTTCACCTGTAATCTGACATTTGCCGGAAGTAAAACCTGTATTAAAATTTGTTGGTATGTTATCTCTGGAGCAACTGAATTGATTCTTAAAAAAAATTATTTTACTTTATGAGAGAGAAAGAGAGAGAGAGAAAGAAAGCGAGAGCTATATTATTCTGTAAAATGTTAGTTCGTAATTTCAATACTTTTAATCAAATCGGAAGAAAAATCGTTGTTTGGATGCTTTACCGGTGTGCGTTGATCAAATTTTAAATACCTGGAAATAATTTAGTAAGTACAGAAATATAAGTCATAAATAGATTTTTGATTTCACCATTTT